TCCCTCCCCCACTGTGGTAATGGGGGCCACATGAATATCTTAGATGGAGTATGACCAAGGGGCTATTGATGCCAACATCTGGATGTGTCCCTTTCTATTGTCCAAAACATCGTACCAGACAGAAGGGTGACATGTTCCATCGAGGGGAGAATTAACCTGTTTGCCTTCACCTTTGACTATTTAAGCATGAACACAGATAGTAACTCAGTGATTAACACTATGTTTGACTCTTGTATTGTCACAGTGAAGCTTTGACAAGTTTCCCCTGAGTAGATTTTGGTTAATTTCTCTGCTCCACTGTTCTCACCACAGTTTCCACATCAGTGAAGTTCCCAGGCTTGCATCTCAGTGTGAGATTTCTCAGCCTGTGGTTTATTAATCTGTGATGTAGGTGGTCTTAATTTCTAACACATCCCCACCAACTTTTAAAGAGAAACTTTTGCTGATTTTGAAGTAACTAAAATGAACATTAATGCTGTTTATTGGGATCAGCTAAATTTAAATTTATATGGAGATTTCTAAAGATTTACATTGTAAAGTTGAGCATTATAGGTTCTGTTCTTTCTAAGTGCATGCATAACATCCATTAAAGATAATAGGATTTCTCTGAACATTCGAGAGGATATAGATTTGCTGAGGTTACATGTCTGAGGAAAACGAAAATTACTTCGTTACATATTTATTAGCTATGGGTAAATAATGTACATTTTCTATGAATATTAATGGGTTTTGATCTCCTGGTACTTTGGAGCCTGATTTATGATTTTTGAACATTTGGGGTTGATAATAGTTCATTTACTTCTTAGGAAGCACTGCAATGTTTTAAGAGCCAGATTTTCAAAAATGCTGAGCTCTCATTGCACTGGAAGCTGCTTGGTTCTGCACTCTTTTGAAAATCAGGCCACTGTACCTACCTAACTTGGGAAATGAGCTCTTTTGAAAATCTGGGCACTTATTTAGGGTGCTTACATGGAAACTACTGGATGGTTTTGAAAATCTGGTCCTAAACATTTATGAAATTTATGCTTGGATTCCATCCTGCTTTCATGTTGTTCCTTTGTTCAAGTAAGAAACTTTTGAATTTTCTATTCCTTTACAGTACTTTCACTTATAGTCTCAGTAATACTGTAAGCTTCTCATTATTAATCTTTTTGATAATAAAAAATTAAGAGAAGTTATCCAGCTAAGGACAAGCTCTGAAATGATTGACAACTGCACTTCAGTTGGTCTTTGTAAGAGTTAAGTGGTCAGTGGTGAGATTTAAATTCTTTAAGCAAGAATGTGATGCGTCAGTTTAGGCACTAGTTAAAATTTAAACATTTTAAGCAGAGTAACTGGACCTAATGGATCCTGTTGACTACTCAGTGACTTAAACTGACTGTCCTATAAGACCCAGAGTTATATAGTTACTAACATTGAATAGAATTCTATTGAATTTGTTTTGGAACATACTTTAAACAGATTTTAACACATTTGGCAAAGGATGAATACAGAAATCATACAACTTGATATGATTAACTTATTACACAGGAAAGAGAGCTTCTAGAAAGGCTAATAAAACTACCTTCCCCTGCTTTCACCTTTTTAGATCTGTTTTGTTTTGTTGAGCAAAAGCAAGTTCTTTTACTTATCTATGGGGAAAAAAGGAAAATGTATCCCATTATGATATTACATTCTTACATTGTTTTTCTCAAGGTAAATGTGGATAAGATGCATGTAAATGTTATCTAGCCATGTATATAAAACTTTGTTTATGAGCTGATATGAGTAAAAGCCTGCTGAGAAGGATTATTATCAAACTACTAATTACCTAGATATTCTTAAACTAGGATTTTTTATCTTGCTTATAAATACCATGATGTAGTTGTTTTTAATCTTGCTTTTGAACTCTCCCCTCTTTTCAGTCTACTCTCCAGAGTGAGTCTCTGATTAATTTTTTCAATGTGTATCAGAAAAGAATAAGTTACTTGATCTAAGCAAATAATTAACAAACTCACCAATCACATGTCATTTAACTATAACTCAGCAAATCTGTCCCAGGCTCACTGCAAAATTATATCACACACAAACTCCTTGGCCACTTCCAGACAGAAAATACTTCATGGATTACATAAAAACAAAGATGTTAAAGGGCAGGTATTTTAATATTGTATACCAAGGCACACATAACTGTTGTCTATTATCATATGTAAAGGGAAATATAATCAAGTTCCTCTAAGCGCCCCTCCCTTCCAATCTATAATTATCCACCAGTGCCTGGCTCAATAGCTAGGGTTAGCAAATTTATGATTGATCAGAATACACATGAGAATGAAGACACAAGATAGAATGAAGTGGCAGGGTGCAACTTTACTAACATTAACCACTAATGGGGTGGGGGATGGGGAAATCAATTGGGTCTAGGGCAAGGTTAACCTGCTTAAGGTGAGACGGCCTCCAGGACAAGACAGATCAGCTCATTCAGTCTAATCCTCCCATACCCATACACAGGGTTAAGCCCCACTGTGTTGCCTTTCACAGCATGCACAAAGAAAAATGTAGATATAATTGAGGGGTATGTGGTCAATCTATGGGAGAGTTAAGACCTTCTACTGCCTCCCAATTCAGAGGCAGCTATGCCAGCTGCCTTTTGGTATTACCAAAGGAGCTGACCCCCTAAAACCACTCTTGCCTGCTGTGGAGACAGGCTACAAATTGTGACAACAGCGATATCTTCGTTTATCCTGATGCTTACCTCCTCCGTCCAGGTTTTTGTTTTTGTTTTGTTTTTAGTACCATTCAATTCCCAAATGTTGGTATCCTGGCCTCGGTGAACTTATGAGACAGGGACACACACACACATAGAGCCAATCTCATCCAGAGGGGAAAATTTCTTCCTGACCCCCATAAAAAGTGATCTGGCCAGTCCTACAGCAATCTGGAAACCCAGTCCTAAAAACTATTAGAACTTATTGGGTAGGATAAGGGGTGTGTGTGTATGGGGGGAGCTGCAAATGCCTGCAATGGCAGCCACATGCCTGAGATGGCCTTACAAATAGGAGGAAGGGGAAGAGGGAACCAATTATCAGTCACCTCCACCAGACTGACCTGTGAGAGCTGTAGGAGGAGAAGACTTCTGTCCTGCCTCCCCTTGCTTTTCCCAACTCCCCATATGGACCATGTGAGTGGGATGGACGGGAGGCTGTCATCAGATGGCTATGCCCTCCCTTCACAGAGAGACTCCAGGGGTGGGCATTGTCAAGCTTCTCTTGCCAAATCCTGTCCCTCCCCCTCTACTGCGATGGAGATGGGTATTCTCAGGTAAAAGTTTCTCCGTCTTAACAGCTGACGTGGAATTATCTGTCTCCCAATCCCTCACATTCCCTTCGTGTCACCAATTTAAATGTTAATATTTCATTGAGTGCTGGTTGCTGAGCTCATCAGATTGTGGTATAGTCAATGCAATAAGGATCCACCTTCCATTATATTCAAGAGAACCTATTCCTATCTTTATGGTGATATAAACATTTAAAGGATAATTTGGTTCAGAGTATATAATCTAGCTGCTAAGTGAAACACAAAAGGGTGTGCTAATGCTGCAAACAATGTTGTAGTAAATACTTTACATAAATTTTCAAAGGAAATGTCTGGTGTTCTGTGCACTCTGAAGAAATGGTAATGTGCTTAGTGATGAATTGGGTTAAAATTTGAAGAGAGTATGACACCGGAGCTACCCTGTGGTCAAGTGGTAATATAAAGGGTTCACTAGCAGGTTTTGTTAGCCCTGGGAAAGAGAGAGCACCTTGCACCCCTCTCTGACTGTTCCCCTCTTGCTAAAGCAAGGTGTGCAGTAATAGGCTCTGGTGGGAGTTTACTGAATCTTTTTGACTGAAGAGAGTCACTGAAACATGAGGGTGATAAAGAAATAATACCTCCCCCAACCCCCAAGAAAATCTTCCAAGACTATGGAAGGTAGTCAGGGGATACTTCTGACCAGTCCTTACCATGGAGATAGTAGAGACATCACTCCTACCTTTTCATCTTAAATACAGATAGTTATATTACTGCACATCTTGGTACTGTGGAAAAGAAGTTTCTGGGGAATTAAAAAAAATCCACACAAGTGTATTGTCCAGCAGCAGGCAGTGTTACAATGCCAAGTGTTCTAGAGAGGTTCAGGCAACTGCTAGACTATAGAATGTAGCTGGTTCACTCTTAACAGTCAACTGATTTCAGTGAAGGGTAGACGAAGGTAGGAGAGCATATGGGTCAGTGAATGAGCAGCAGCAAAAGGGTTTATTTTCACAGCTTTGGCTTCTATAGAACTTTGGGTGAATACCTTATGACGAAAACCAAAATAGTCCGTAATCATGAATGATTCAAACGTTTAAAAAAACCCAACAAGATAGCAGCCAAAAAGGTCATGCCGTCCAAAACATGACTTGCACTTTTCAAGTTGTTGTTTAACAGACATTCTGTGTACTGCTTTGTGTGTGTAAGTGATCGATTAAAATCAGGTAAAACAGATAGCTTTGTTTATCTTGACCTCACCTAGCGGGTGTAACATTTTCCATATATATCTATATAATGTTACTATTATATACTGCTGTTGCCAAAACTCTAGGTCAGTCACAAACAGTAACAAGGTAATCAGCAGTTTGATATAAAATTTATAAAACTTTTACACTTTTAGAATATGTTGTATCGATCCAGATCTGGCCGGAAAACCCTTTCGAGCATAAAAACCTGGATCATATTCCTTTAATATGGCCTCTCAACTACACATAGGACTAGGCCCTCAGCTGGCATCAGTTGAAAATTGTACAATGAAATTAAAGGGCATTGTGTGGCCAAATCTCAGTCAGTTTTGAAAAATCTCATGGAACCTACATATATTACCATCCCCTGATCTTAGCTGGCAACATTTTCCACACTGTCAGCCAAATTAGTGCTCAGTAGGGCATGTCTGCAGTCTCCAAAGGGTTAACAAAAATGTGACTTAACAGAGGTCACACAGATTCTTTGGTTTCCATATATTTTTATTAATGACTGTGGAGGTTACAGTTGAAAGATCTCAAAAATGGATTCTTTATTAAGCCAAAGGTATAAATGTGAAGACAATTTCGGTGTCTAGTTAAGAAACATGCAACGTTAGTCTGTTCCCAATTACCTTAAAAATAAAAAGGCTCATCATACTGCATTAAAAGTTATTTATTTTTGTCATGTGATACAATAGAGCTTTATGTAATGAATCACTGGTTCTGATGAAAATAGGAGTTAGTTCAGCACCTGCAAGAGACTAGCATTTGCAGAATGCATGAGGGTGGTCTAAGTGTCTAAAAATTTATGTAATGGAAACAGGCTCAGCATAGATTTATTTCCCACAAAGATTTGTACTTATGTTTCACCTGGCATGGTTGTTACAGCTAATCTTACGGCCTAGCCTAATAGGTGAACTGTGAAAATATTTCATTAAATTCAGTGACTAGCTCTAATTTTTGGTGTTTTTTTTTTCTTTTAACTCCCCCCTCCCCTCCACAACTTTTTGGACAAACTCACAATGAAGATACAGTGTGAAATGGGATACATCTGTTCTTGTATGCTGTCTAAACTAAGCTAGTGGTGGTACTATATAGAGAAGCTTGCATTGTTTTTACTACTTTAGATCAGTTTAGTGGGAGCAGTTGTTCCGTATTTAATCCCATGAGTCACAAATTGGTTTGCAAATTCCTTTAACATTAACCAATTCAGAAGCCAGCCTTGTCCTTGTTTGGCTCTGGAACATATATTTTTGCATTGTAGTGTTGCAGATTTTCAGTAATGTTTCAGAACTGAGAGAAGCCTGTGGACGTTTTCCTGCCATAAAACAGAAGTCCTTACAGTAGTTTCATGCACAAGAAAAAAAATTATTTTGCACAAATCTAATAAATTTAATACTGTAATGTCTTGGATATACAGCTTATTTAAGACCTAAGAGTCAACTTTTGATATTTGAATTATTAATTACAAAACAAGTTGTAATTCTGCATCAAATCAGGGTGCTACGCACCCAACCCTAATATGTAGTACAAATTAATACTTTTCCACCCAATCTTTTTCCCTTTGATTAATTATATAATTATTAGGGATGGACCTGAGCCACAAATCTGGATTTCAGTCACCAAAGTTCAGAAATAGCATCTATGGTCTTGGTTCCACACATGCTAAATATAGGGCCCCATTACAAAATGTGGCCGGGAATTGGGAGTTGCAGCCTTCCCGAGCCTTCAGTGCTGGCAGATGTTGGTATCTAGAGGTATCACTCTCGTTGTCATAAATGTTCTGAAGTGGCTAATTGATTTTCTCACTATTTTATTATAAAACAATATCATGTTGTGATGACTATGTTTGGAGTTTAAGTCCTGAGGCCAATTTGAAGTTAACAAATGGGTGGTAACGACTCCATATTTATGGTTCCATTCTAAGATGGGCTTAAAATGAGGCACAGATTCCTATTTTTCTTTAAAGTAGGTGGCCCTACTGGTGTGGAATTTCACACATTGTTAGTTTTTATGCCTGTTGAATGTGTTTGTTGGCACATGCAAAATGCTTATCCTTGATTGAAACACTCTCCCTAAACATTGTAATTGGAACTGAAATGCTGGCAAAGTGGCACTGTGACATCAATGATGAAGGTCCTGTGCTGTATCCATTTATTGCAAAACACACAGCAATAAGGAAGCTGAGCGGTCCATGGGAGGATGGGTCATGGGATGTAGAGTCTTTGACTGCTATGTCACCTCTTTTAATATAGCCCAGGTCAGTTGTGACCAAAAGACATTATCTCCTTTGCTGTTTCCCTAGGTAAAACAAGCTGGTGATTGAATCCCGTTCCTAGTGTGCAAGTGTCCACATTACCAACCATGCTGTTTGTCCATCATTAACTAGCACCCTTGTTGTCTTTCAGCTGAGAGGCAAATAGTTGCATGGGCAAAACACTGGACTACTCTCTCCTACCTCTGATTGGGCTGTCCCTCCAAGACAGGGTTGAGACACACTGGTGGGGCAAGGAAATTTGCACTGCTGCTTTATGTACAGTAACGGTTAGGCAAATAGAGTCACTGTGATCTGGCATCTTTCACTGAATTAATATATTCTTTTAGAACAAGTTTCTGGCCCCACTTACATGGCTGCACAATATGTGCATAAAATTGCTCACAGCACTGGGGGAAAGCAGGCTGTGCAGAATCACTGTGTCCCACCCCTCACACATGTGAATGGAAAGAGGCAGAGTGAAACATCCATCCCTGCCAACACACTGGGCAACAGAGGTGTGCTGCAGTATTAAATTTAATGGAGATATCCTATCTCCTAGAACTGGAAGGGACCTTGAAAGGTCATTGAGTCCAGCTCCTGCCTTCACTAGCAGTACCAAGTACTGATTTTGCCCCAGATTCCTAAGTGGCCCCCTCAAGGATTGAACTCACAACCCTGGGTTTAGCAGGCCAATGCTCAAACCACTGAGCTATCCCTCTCCCCAATGTCAGTATTGGCGGACATGATGAATCCCGTGTAGACCCAGTGCAGTTTATTCCCTCTCCATAGCAGTGGGGCCCAGTGGGAGGGAGACTGTGACTCTCTGCCTCTGACTTAGAGCAAATGGATAAATCACAAGCTAGCCCCAGAACTGACACTATTTTAGGGACCTAACTTGTCAATCTGGAATAAGCATACAAGAGGATATAATCGTGTATAAACTTTTCCAACTGCAGCTTTTAAAGACATGCTTTCACTATCAATTGTGGTTTGATTTGAAATAACCTTGATTTTATTAGCTTGTGTTCTATTTTACACCATGATCAGAAAGAATGATTAAATCTAATATAGGCAGAAGGATGATTAAGAGGCTTAATAGTCTTACAGATAAGATAGGATTGCTTTCTGCTAGTGCCTGTATCAGTTGATAATGAGTTCAGATTTTTTTTTTAAATGTACCTTCTTTTTCTTCCTTCAGAATTATGCAGAATTTTTTTTTTAAATCACATTTCTTACTTTGGTTTACAGAATCAAAGTAAACATCTCAAAGGAACATTTTTTTTTGCTGGGCTAGTCATGCCATTTTTAAACTTCTGCTTATCTGAGGCTAGTATTTCCCTGCTGTCAGGGGTACATGACTTAGCTCAGAATATGAAAGAGCATTTCAGGCTACAAGTTGCAAGGTCATAAAAAATTTGAAAAACAATACAGGTGTCAAATAATGTGAAAAGAATATCACTGTGCCTGGGTCTGAATGCTAGTAAACTTTATAAAGCTTGGACTGACAGTGGATTGAAGGTTGAAATCTATCTGGAGCTATGCATCGATCCTCAGCACCTCTGGTTCCAGATCCATATTTGAAGCTAGGCCAAAACAGAGTGATTACCTTTTCACATTTTTGTACTCACAATTTTAGATTGTATTAATTGTCTGTGACAAAATCTAGTCATTTTATGTGGCTGATAAATTGATTACTGTACTATTGCAACTAAACAAAAAAAACCTCAAAGTTCTTTCTGGGTGAATAATTTGAGTCAATTTTGGTTGTTTTGACAGTGTTTGGGATTACATCACGGCCAGATTTTGCCACGGTTTCTGACAATGAGTAGTGCCTTTCTCTGCAAGTAGACCCAATGGAGTTAATCTTTTTTTTTTTCCTCCAGATCAGTAGGGCTACTTACATAGTGAGGTCTCCATCCTGTAAAGACTTATGCTCATACTTAATCTTAGTCTCATTGTGTAACTTTGAGGCCTAAGGTGCTACTCAATGTGAATATGGAATCTCACCTCATAATTTCAACCAGATATATACTATGCTATTTTCCCCCACACTTTATCACTTAACCCAGGGTGGACAGCTGAGTTCCAGCAAATGACAAGGAGGAGCCATTATAAATTCCTCTCCTTAATCAGGCAAAGCTCCCAGGATCACATCCAGATTAGCTGATGAAACTAGTCAAATTACGAGAAACAAGGTAGAATTAATGCTAGCCTGCATTGATCCCATGTATGAATATATGAACCCTGGATGGGAGGATAATTTACCCCAAATTGTATCTTGACTGTAAAGGTCATGTCTCTACTAAATGCCTAAATCATATTTATGTAAAATTTCACGAATATATGACTTAATTTATTGTGATTTACGTCAACAAAAACATTAAAAAGGACACTATAAAATAACTGCCCTACTTTGGACTGTACTTTTTTTTAATATATATATAAAAGGAATCTATTTAATGGGGTTTTAAATGTCATCACTACAAAGCATCAAGTGCTTCCTGCACCTTTGTAGTCCGTGAAGGCTCTGATGAACCAGAATGGATGAGATTCTCCTGGGGAAGGCAGGGTTTGGTAATTTTATACACTTTTCATCTTGTAGAGCTCTGTTCAGGAAGGGTTCCCTGTGCCCCAGCCTGAGAGGGGGATAGTGGGAGAGAGAGTGAGCATAGAAGGAGCAGGACCTTCAGGTACGGAGAGATACTGACAACTCTCCTTGAAGAGGACAAATGCACCAGCTGGATGTGCAGTCCTGAGGCTTCAATAACAGATGTCATGTTGGACAATGTCATGTTTGCAATGCAAAGTAATGCACATTGGAAAACATAATCCCAATTATACATACACCTCTACCCCGATATAACGCTGTCCTCGGGAGCCAAAAAATCTTACCGCGTTATAGGTGAAATTGCGTTATATCGAACTTGCTTTGATCCGCCAAAGCGTGCAGCCCCGCCCACCCGGAGTGCTGCTTTACCGCGTTATATCCAAATTCATGTTATATCAGGTCACGTTATATCGGCGTAGAGGTGTATAAAATGATGGTGTCTAAATTAGCTGTTACCATTTAAGAAAGAGATCTTGGAGTCACTGTGGATAGTTCTCTGAAAACATCCAGTCAATGGCAGCAGCAGTCAAAAAAGTGAACAGAATGTTGGGAATCATCAGGAAAGGGATAGATAATAAGACAGAAAATATCAGATTGCCTCTATATAAATCCATGGTACACCCACATCTTGATGTGGTTGCCCCATCTCAAAAATATATTTATTGGAATTGGAAAAGGTACAGAAAAGGGCAACAAAAATGATTAGGCAAATGGAACAGCTTCCATATGACGTACGAAGAAAGATTAATAAGACTGGGAATTTTCATCTTGGAAAAGAGACGACTAAGAGGGAATATGAAAGAGGTCTATAAAATCATGACTGAGGTGTGGGAGAAAGTAAATAAGGAAGTGTTATTTACTCGTGCTCATAACACAAGAACTAGGGGTCACCAAGTGAAATTAATTGGCAGCAAGTTTAAAAGAAATAAAAGGAAGTATTTCTTCACCCAATGCACAGTAAACCCATGGAACTCTTTGTCAGAGGAAGTTATGAAGACCAAGACTATAACAGGGATCAAAAAAGAACTAGATAAGTTAATGGAAGATAAGTCCATCAATAGCTATTAACCAGGATGGGCAGGGATGATGTTCCTAGCCTCTGTTTTCCAGTAGTTTGGAAAGGATGACAGAGGATGGTTCACTTGATGATTACCTGTTCTGTTCATTCCCTCTGGGGCACCTGGCATTGGGCACTGTCAGAAGACAGGATACTAGATACTTTGGTCTGACCCAGTATGGCTTTTCTTATGACCCCTGCCATTCTGATAGAAGTGGAGGAGTAGGATTCTTTTCCCTCCCCACTTTAAAGTTAAGCATGTACCCAAGTCTTTTAGGCCTGGGGCTCTGAGCATGTAACCTAGCTGTATACAATTATTTTACGGCCAAAAACTTGCTTAGTGTTGTATCCTTTTTTTGATTCTTGGGCAATTAAAAAATTTGTGTGAAAAAGCTAGTGGCCATTTATAGAAATATCACATCTTCATTTAAAATCTTCTCAAAAGTTTAGGTGTCAGAATTGAAAAATAATTTTAGTTAACATTGAAACCTTTATGTACTGTTTAAAGTAGCATGTTTATTCTACCAGTTTGGTGAATAATTAGATTATTAGCAATTATCCTACTGCAATATTACAGCTATTGAAAATCACTTTCAAATTGAAAGGCTTAGACAACATCAGATGATTTTAGTGCATGATGAAAACAGTTCAAAGAATTTTGCTAAATAAATGTGGTATTTCAGCTACAGATTTTTCCCCTCCAAATCTTTCAAGAAAATCCTATATCTGCTTTTTAAAAAGTTGGGCTTTGTTGGAAAAGTAAGTATGGTTAAAGGCAGAAATCTATGTACCATATCATAAATGTAGAACAGTTTTCATAATTTTTTAAGGTATTTAAGCACCTGCAGATACAGATAGGAAATTTCAATGGAAGTTAGGCACCTAGGTGCCTACTGGGATTTTCAAAAGCACTTAATTGTACCTATATGCACCTAAATACCTTTAAAAATCTGACCCTTAGGAGAGAAGGTCTTTCATGTTTCTAGACACACAATGTTTTAATGTCTGGGATCCCAATCCCAAGAATTTGGTAGAATTCCCAGATATCATAATAGTCTTCTCTTCCGGTTCGTGGAGTTCAGAAAGTCATATTGATTCTTGAGTGAAAGTGGGAGAAGTCAAATAAAAGGCACCACATTATATAGTTTGTCCGATATTCTGCTTTCTGGTTAGATGCAATGATGCTTTGTTTTGCTTGTGCTCAAAAGGCCTGATTCAAGGACTCTCCCTTATTGTTTTTATATGCTGTTGTAATTAAAGGGGCTTTTAAAGGAATTGTTTGGGGGCTATTTTTGCAAGAACAGCCACCTCCAAATAGCTTTTCATTCAAATAAACATTATTATATTGTGAATAGTAGATCTTACTGCTGTAGTGTCTCTGGCATCAGGTTGTGCTGTTGCAGGAAACTTCACCTCTTGTACCCTGAGTAGCCATTTCCATGGCCCCATTAGCCGGTGTGTGTTTGAGTTTTCCATGGCTTCACCCTCGGGCCAGGTCACCTTAAGGTTCAATCCTCTGCCAGGATAACAAAAAGTCCATCTGAAATTTCAAATAAACTTCTAAACAAATGATTCTTCTGCCCATCTTGGGCCACGATGAAGTTATCTGCTTATTGATCCCCACTCATGGTCCCTGTAGAGTGTTCCCCTATGTTGGTTCCTCCCAGCAGGGTTTTCCCACTACAGTAGAACCTTAGAGTTACGAACCCTTCGGGAATGGGTTCGTAACCCTGAAATATTTGTAACTCTGAACAAAGCATTATGGTTGTTCTTTCAAAAGTTTACAACTGGACATTGACTTAATATAGCTTTGAAACTTTACTATGCAGAAGAAAAATGCTGCTTTTAACCATCTTAATTTAAATGAAACAAGCACAGAAACAGTTTCCTTACCTTGTCAAATATTTTTTTTAAACTTAACCTTTTTTTTAGTAGTTTAAATTTAACACAGCACTGTACTGTACAGCCTTTTTTTTCTTTCTTTTTGGTCTCTGCTGCCTCATTGCATACTTCCAGTTCAGAATGAGGTGTGTGGCTGACCAGTTAGTTCATAACTCTGGTGTTCATATCCCTGAGGTTCTATTGTACTTCCCCATGTTAGGGACTCTAGCAGCTTTCCTCAAGGACCTTCCTTTTTCCTTACAGGGCCTTTTTTAGAGCCCTCTGCCACAGGAGCCTAACCTGCTCTCTGTGGGTCTCATCAAGCCTGACTTTCCCAGTCCCTTCCCACAATGGAACTTCCCTTGCTCCTCTTTTCTGGATCGCCTCCCTTAGACTGAGTTCCCAGTTTTGTTTAAGAAGTCCTCTCCCTGATTTCCCGTAGCTGGGTCATCATTATAATTAAGTTTCCATCACACTGAGCGGTGGATAGTTCTCTGATCGCAGGCTACGCTGAGGCTGACTTGCCTTACTATCTATCACAGGTTGACCCTGTATGTAGCCAGTCATTGAATGTAGCTAATTAAACACCTGCTAGTTAGTTTTACAGTTCTCTGCTGGTAATCTTTAATGTAACTGTATTGTACAAAGAGTGGGTTCCCATAATTAACTCCTGGGATCATCATAAATGTGTGGAATCCTGTAAAACAGTATTTAAGAGCAGCTTGTGTATGGACCAAATTCTGCTGCCCTCCTTCCTCTCTGCAAAACCTGCATAAAGTGGCTTTTTATTGGGGTTGAGAAGAAGGAATCTTCCCTTTAACATAGTGGCTTGGTATAACATGTCTATGCAGCCAGTTCACTACCACTTGTGCAGAACATTGGTTGTGATAGCAATTGGGAATGTAGGTATGGAGTCTTTCTACCTGAAGACCCCCTGTGGTTCTGCATGTGTTTAGGGCCTTCCATACTCACAGAGGCTATGTAGCAGGGATCCAGGGAATGGGTAGCATTTGGCACTTTGTTATTAAAATGAGCAGAATCAGCTGCTGGACACCCTTTTCAATTTCCTCGAAAATTCAAGCCAATATGACTCCTGATAAGACTAGTCTATGGAACATTCCAAGATTATCACAAGAATTGCTTTGGTGTACCATAAAAGAAAAAAAGATATAGTCAGAATATGGCATGCAGAAGCAGTTTTACAGCTCCTCCCATCGCTGCACATAAGTGACACTGTTTACTGTTAACTTTGGATTATCAATCACTGATTGCCAGCAAAACAGAGTAGATCTCTTCATTCTGCATTTGTACTCTTGAGTAGCTTTCTTTTACTGTTTTCCCATTCAATGATGAGGCTGTCGGAACCAGTATTGGACATGGACATGGCAAACTACAGTGAAGTCTTAGATCCAACTTATACTACTTTGGAGTTTGAAACTATGCAGATTCTGTATAATGGCAATGGTGAGTTCTCTTCTGCTCAGTGATGCAAAATCAAGCTATGGGTTAACGGAAAAAAGTAAAACTAAGTAATGCTGTAAGGTGCTAGTTAAATGTTTTATTAATAGAGCATTTGGGCGGCGGGGGAGGGGGGTTATGGCAACAGATCTGCTCTTTTACACTTCATCATTAAATCTAAGTTAATAAAATGATAACTTTTTTCTGTTAAAGAAAATAAAATACCAGTTATGTGTAAGAAAGTAAGTGAATTCCACTGTCATCAGTCAATTAATCAAAGGAAGAAAAGGGGGCTTTCAGCAGTTGTTTTATTTACTGTAAAACAAATGAATAAGTAGTATTGACAGTTTGGGCATGAAGGTAGATTTTGCACATAACATTTAAAATGACAGATAGAACAAAATTATCCAGAGGTTTGGGAAATTTTACCGATTGTGGAGAAAATGATCTCCTTGCTCTTGCTGTCTAGTTTCCAATTAATGGGCTCATATTTTATTTGTATAATGTAATAAGTTTTTAATCACATTGACACTCTACAGGCTAATGTTTAGCTGGGAGAGGCGCTTGGTATTTGAGTGTAACATTTTAACTTAGGTTAGAATTGTTTATGATATGGGTTGTTATGCTATGGGTTTTTGTGACATTCCATTCATAAAAATATTGCCTCAAACATGTTGCATGCTGTATTTAACTTTACCATAACTGAATATTCTACCACAGACATAAAGGAAATTTTAATCTTTGAAAGTGAATGTTTTAATGTAAAGTAATTACTTTAAAGTTTAGAAGTGAAATTCATTAAGGATAGAGAAAGTATATTTAGCACTAGCACAACAATTATTTTTATCTAGTCTAAAACTATAGACACATTGCTGTTGTTTGTAGTTTGTTTTTTAAAAGGCAGAGCAAATATTTCAGCATTTGTGGAAAAGTTCATTTGTACTTGTATTTTGTTCCATATTAAATTAAATTAATGGAGATATCCCATCTCCTAGAACTGGAAGGGACCTTGAAAGGTCATTGAGTCTAGCCCCCTGCCTTCACTAGCAGGACCAAGTACTTGATTTTGCCCCAGATTCCTAAGTGGCCCCCTCAAGGACTGAACTCACAACCCTGGGTTTAGCAGGCCAATGCTCAAACCACTGAGCTCTCTCTCTCTCTCTATATATATATATATATAATGTCTTTGATGTGAAAAATGTTCATTCTGCATATCTCACAAATACAATATAGAGCTTAAGTGGGCCTGTATAGGTGTGTCTTGAAACTTTTGTTTTGATTTTGGATGTTTCCATTACAATTTCTTTGCAACCAGACTAGTGAACAGAAATGTAGATTTAATTATTGATTCTGCCTAGAAGAAGAAAAAATAACATTTGTCATGAAAGAAAAATTTCCTCTTCTTAAGTGATTATGAGGCTTTAAACAATGGTCACTTGAGCTTTAGATGGTTTCTCCACTTACTTGATTTAAGAAGGGGGATTTTCTTGGTAATTAGTTATTTTTGCTTAACATAACTCTTACGGATCTGTTAAAGGTACACACACACATACACATATATACATGGGGGAAGGGAAGTTAGGCAAGGGAAGTTTATATTGGTAATGCAGATGGTTGAATTATTCAATGAAAATGATTAGTTGGCAAATTTTAATTCATATTTATTAAATGTAGTCTTATTCTGGTTGCAATTCATTTTTAAGCTTATCTTAAGTAACTGTAAGAATCAGTCTAAAAGAATGGTCTTGTGGATAATGCACTGATGGGGACTCAGGAGATCTGGTTTCAATTCGCAGCTCTGCTATGTATTTCCTCTGTGAACTTGAGCAAGTATCTTAATCAGAACTGGTCAGACACGCTTCACCAGAACCACATTCTGTTGGCACATGCCCTTCTGTCAACATTGAAATGCTTCACAAAATTGAGTTGATTTCACCAGAATTTTATTTCAGACGAAAGACTGGGGGTGAGGGAGAGGGAGGAGAAAGTTTTGACAAAGTTGAAAATGATTATTTCAACATTTTTGGAATAAAGCATTTCAGTTTTTCATTTTGAAATGACTTAATTTAGAATTTCCAAAATTTTGTATTACTCATTATAATACAAAATAAAAAGTCAAAATTGATATGAAACATTTTGATTTTGTCTAAACTAAATGTTTTGATTGACCCAAAATGATTTTGTTTACTTTTGGCTTGCAGAGAATTTTGACATGTTTGTTTTTCATTCCAAATCAGAACAAAGCCAGATTCTGAAATCCTTTGCAAACTGGAACTTCCAACCTCTGCTCAGTTCCACTCTTAATCTCTCTATGTCTCAATTCCCTGTCTATACAATAGAAATCATGCTTACTTTCTTGCACTCTTGGCTATTTGTCTATTTAGAATGTAAGTTCTTTGGAACAGGGTCTATATTTTACTAGATGTATGTGCAGTATCTGGCACAATGGGGTTTCAGTCTTAGTTGAAGCCTGTAGATGCTACCATCATATAAATAATTAATATTAATAATAGTTTGCTAAAAAGATTATCCTATGGGTTGTTCATAAACTATTCTGTAACTATTTGTGATATATGATTGAATGTCGAAGTCACATAGCAATGTTTCTTCTTCTTGACTGAATGATTGAAAATGTAGACAGGAGAATCTTCTTTTTGTATAACTACACACATATACAAAGAATAGCAATTTTGCAAATATTCATCTGAACAAAAACCTTCTCCCAAATAGTGAGTAAAAAGAGAATAAATGTGGTAAAACCATATGTCCATTCTTAGAACTGAAAGGGAGGCTGCAAGGTCATTGAGTCCAGCCCCCTGCCTTCACTAGCAGGACCAAGTACTGATTTTGCTTTTGATCCCTAAGTGGCCCCCTCACGATTGAACTCACAATCCTGGGTTTAGCAGGCCAATGCTTGAACCACTGAGCTATCCCTCCCCCCCAATTCAGGTGACATGCCTGGATGCACACAGAATGTCTACATCGGGGGTTCTCAAACTGGGGGTCGGGACCCCTCGGAGTCACGAGGTCATTACATGGCAGGTCGCGAGCTGTCAACCTCCACCCCAAACTCCGCTTGCTTCCAGCACTTATAATGGTGTTAAATATATTAAAGGAGGTGTTTAATTTATTGGGGGGGGGGTCACACTCAGAGGCTTGCAATGTGAAAGGGGTCGTCAGTAAAAAAGTTTGAGACCCACTGGTCTACATCAACCTTGCATGAAACTCTTCCTGTATGGAAATAACACTATGCCAACCTTCTCCAATAATTTTTTCATGAAATTTAATTCAGAACTTTTTTAAAAATACCTGTGCCAATAATAACTGAGATTGTTTTCATGAAAGGAATGATGATAGCCAACTATTGCAATGTCATGTGAATTAATTTATGGATGTTTTACCAGTTGACTAAAAAATTTTGTTTTGTACCAATGTCCCTCTTAATGATTTCTGTTAGCAAGAATATTTAAATAGTTACACACAAATAGAAAGTTAGGTATTTCTTGTACACTTTAACTTTCAAACCACTTCTTTGAATCTGCAATAGTTTGGACAAAAAGCATTTCTTGTTATAAGCATCATAAATTCTGATAACCAGACGTGATGGGTTTGAAAGGATTCATTAGAATAACAACCAGATGTAATTAGACATGCTGTCTTTGTATGATCAGTAAATGGTAAATGCTAATTAAAAGAGAAAAGGCCAGTTAAATCTCCATGTAAGTGTAAATAGTCATGGTGTTGTATTCGTTTCAGGTTTTAACCATAACTGCATATGTTGTTCTTGTCCCTCATCAGACAGTTCTTCAGCAGAACCACTCAACATGAACACTGCAGACAATGGAGTCAGTGGTCTTTGTGCAATATGTGGAGACAGAGCAACTGGCAAACATTATGGTGCCTCCAGTTGTGATGGGTGCAAGGGCTTCTTTAGACGTAGCATACGGAAGAGTCATGTCTATACCTGCAGGTATTTGAAATATTCAGCTTGGGAAACTTAATTCATTAAGCCGGTGGCAAATCACTTTCAGATGTAATTTATACAGTGAATATTTTCTTTCTTTTTCAAACTGAATAAACAATACAGTGGACAAAAGTATGATTGTTGGTTTGTTAATGTAATTGGAAAAAATTACTTTCCTACAAATCACTGAAAAGAATTGTCTGCACCCCCCCCCCCAAACATAATACATTAAAAATTAATGTTTACCTGTCTCTCATGAGGAAAATCATATTCATTGCTATGAAATTCTTGGTTACATTTAAATGATCTGTAGGCAAAACAATAAAAATAAATATTACAAGGTATTTAATAAGCATCTAGATAATCACCTTTAAGATAGTATCTTTTAGAATGACCTACCTTGATTCTCCACTAGAGGCAAGTTTTATCACGATTACTTTTTGGTATTGACTGTTCCAGTTACCAGCACCAGGTGAAATACACCAGGACAGATGCTCAGATGGATTACATTGGGATAGATCTATCAACGTCATTAGTGCTAGACTAATTTATACCAGCTAAGGAACTGGCTCGCCATTTTTTGTATGTGAACATATAGAGAATTTCCTAAAAAAAATTTTTTTTTGCTGGGTTTGTGATAAGCAACATTTTGGAGATTTATCACTAAACATTTGTTTTTCTCTGATGAAAGACAGTTTCTAAAGAGTGCTTAAGACTCATAAATCCTGATCCGAAGAACATACAAGAGATAACTTATCTGTAAGGAGCTCTGTACTGCTGGAAATGGTGTTCTACTGTTCTTCTAATCACACTGTACCTTTCCGTTGTGGTGTGCCAAAATGTATATAGACTACTAGGGAGACATCCCCTGACCTCCACTTGGATGGTTGTGTGCCCAGTACTTAGTTGAACTACACCTTCCAGCAATCTTGAAGTTTTGAAATTCTGGGACCAAAAATTTCTGTTTTCATTTGCAATGGCAGCGGCTTGGTTCTTGTTCTACAAATATTGCTTTCCAAAATTATTTTGTCCTGTCCTGAGGACCATCAGACTCAAAGAAACATTTGCTTCCAGGCCCCTCATTGTTTTAATCATAGTTCCCCACTGTTCTTTTTAAAGGGGTGCTAGATCTTTACTATTGACTGCCCTCTGGCACTCGTTTCTTTCTTTCTCTATTCTCAACAAGGCTGCCTAGAACCCCTCTCCAGAATACAGAGATCTCTCCTACTCGTGCTATCATTTGTTTAAAGCCCTTTTTATCAACGTCTTGTGTCCTAAGGCTTCTGGCATAAATTATGTTTTTTAAAATTTAAACCAAATATTGACTATTAAATACTATTATTCATACAAAATATTTGCTGTGATGATGAAAAAACTAATGGCATCTTGCCCATTATAAGAAATTATTCTTGCCAGATGTACAGGTGGAAAACATTTTTCAAGGCTGAATTAAAGAAAAAGATGGGTGAAGGCTGATAGTTGGAAACAGTTTTTGACAGCCCACATTAATTGTTGTCCCTCTTGCTAATAAGGACTGTGCTTTATTAATGCTCTAATATATTTACCCTTTCTTGTATCTGATAGATTCAACCGACAATGTGTTGTTGACAAGGACAAGAGGAATCAATGCAGATACTGTCGTTTAAAAAAGTGTTTTCGAGCAGGAATGAAAAAAGAAGGTAATAGATTGCTTTATTACTTGACGTACAAAGAGAAATAAACACTTAATCTAAATGAGTGTTAAAACTTAGTATAAAACTAAAAGAATATCACAGTAGAATAACTCAGTGAATAGATAACTCTAGTGCCTTCACAAAGAAAGAGTGATTTTACTATTATATACTTCATTTAATTTTTTAAGTTAGTAAATTTTGAAGTTATAGTATTTTGTGCCTCTAACAAATTAACAGAGTCAGAACGGAGTTTGCAGCTTAAATTTATTTTTGTAGTATGTGAATCCTAGCTTCAAGTCCCAACACTTCAAACGTTGTGAAAATCTGAAATCAGACCTGAGTTTGGAATCCATAAATTCAGGAATGTTCAGATTTGGAGTTTTGGTTCTATTCGTTATAAAAATATGAAATTTGTGTCCAGGGTTTTGGTTGGTGACTGCCTCTAGTAATAATTTTCAATGTCAATCTGCTAACTCTTTAATTTAGTTAAAATGTTGGAGGTGCATAAATCAGAAAAAAAGTGTGTGTGTGTGTGTGTGTGAAGTTCTCTGGTTTTGAGGTCTTTAAGGTGACAACACATTTTTGCAATTATTAAAGACACACTTTGCTTATTCAATGAGATAAAATTATATAAATTAAAAGTTCATGATATCTGTTCACCTAAGATGCCAAATATGCTCTAACAGATGGCTAAACTATGAGAACATTTTTTTCAAAATAGACCTGTTTAAGTTTGTGAAATGTTAGTGAAATTCAAGCAATTTACTGACTGCAAAAAAATGTTGCTGCCCAGATTTTCACATTTCAAAGTTGGTTGCTTGTTATGGCTCATGCAAGTCAGGTGGTACTGATTATGTGCTCTGAGTCTACCCCATGTGGTCAAGGGGATTGACAGAAGCTCTTTGTGACTCACTTTCTCAGATGGGGTGGCTGCAGTTTCTGTGCTTTTACTGAGTCAGTCAGATAATAACGTTCTGGGGGCAGCAGCAGCGAGTAATTCAGTGCTATTCTCCTCTGTAGTGGCAGTGTGGGATTGTCCCTTACAGACCATCCAGGAACTGATGGGGTACAGTGACCCTATGTGGCAGTTTCCAAGCTGGAGAGGTGAACGGTCCTTGTATTAAAGTGAGGGTAGCCGACAACTGCAAGAAGACAACACTAGCAAGAAAAAACATACTAGTTTGGAGTGCTATGGGAGAGTCTCAGATCCTGGTAGGGAAGGGATTATTGTGTAGGGACAGAAGAGTACATGGCTTGGTTGGGATCCCATGTATGTTCAAATAAAATAAAAATGGAGCCTTTTGTGGTTCCCACATTACTATACTTATGTTTATTGTGGTGAAACTGTTTTACAACCTGTTTTGGCATGTTTTTTTTATCCATCATAAGGCCAGTTTACAGCACGACTCTGTAACTTTACTGTAGTGAAGTGGGTTTACAGTGTGCTTCTGCAAGTACCTTATTAGGGTAAGAGTGGTTTATTGTGTGGTGTTATATGTTTTTGGCTTTGCTAATGGCAAAACATTTTGTAGGAGAGAGGATTAAATGTATTTTCTTCTTGCAGTCACATGGCAAAATTCTGCTCTTATTTACAGTCATGAATCTAAAATAACTCCATTAAGTCTGTGGAGTTGCTTTGCATTTACATTGGTATAATGGTGCAGAACTTGGCCTCTAGCATTCAGACCATTAAAATCAGTAGTGCTTGGAATTCACTGTGGGATCCTTGTAAGAAAAATGTTGAATTATCTGTGTGGCCCTCAACATTTTGCAAAAGGCAGAATTTCAAGGACACTCAAACCTTATAAAATGAATAGATTAAAAAATGTGCATAACTTTTTTTTCACTGATTTTACACCATTTTTCCTATAAAACATATTGGTCCTGCTTCTCCACTACATCTGAGCTATGCTGATTCAGAGCTGTCCAGCCACAGCCAGGCGGTCGCCTAGGGCGCCAAGATCTGGGGGGGCGGCATTTTGCCGCCCTCGGCGGCAATTCAGTGTCGGGGGTCCTTCCACGCTCCAGGTCTTCTGCGGCAATTCTGTGGCGGGTCCTTCACTCACTCCGGGACCCGCCGCCGAAGTGCCCCGAAGACCGGGAGCGTGGAAGGACCCCCACCTAGAGTGCCAAAAACCCTGGCACCGCTGCTGGCCGCAGCATAAATCAGAACTGGAGGGATCCTATTCTAAATAACACTGTGTGTGCTGGTGGTATATGGTCCAACACATCATGGGAGGATTGAGCAGAGCAGAGATTTCCCTTACAGAGGGAATTTTCTGCTTGGAATCTCCAGTCTGCTTAAGGATGCTTTAGCCTAAGTAAGCAAAGAAGCTCTATTGGACTTGTGAATCCAGTCCATTGAATCCTGTACGTATGCAATGCAAAGTTATTTCCCTTTGATTCTGCAAGTGGCCCTGTCACCCAGTGAGGAGGAGATGGGGCCAGTCATACTTGTGCTATAATTAATTTGCTGCTTCCCAGCCTGAGGGGGCAGAACTGGACAGCCAGGTGATACCTTAATGGACACCTGGGCCTTATAAAAGGACTGAGAGAGATCTGTCAGGGTGTTAGAACCACAGGGAGTGGGAAGGCTCTTGTGGAAGGCCCTGAGCCAGCGTCTGCAGGAGGCTGGGTACTGCAGGGGAACCAGCCTTGGGGGCTGGCAAGTGCTCTATAGTAGAGTGGGTAAAGATTCAAAGGTAGCTTAGAAAAGGGGCTGAAAACAGGGCCCAAAGGGCAGGCTGAAGTGAAGCCCTGGAAGGCAGAGAAACCATTTTGGTTTGTTTAGGACTTTTTAGTTTGGACTTTTGCTACCATTGAAGGGTTATATTTATTTGTGACTTGGGTGGAGAGGTAAGCCACACCTCCAACCCAGACTTGTGGGGATGCGGAGGAGACCCATCTTGGGAAAGGAAACTGAGGCAGGGAGTACTGGCAGTGCTATGCTCAGCCAGCAGGTGGCATGCTAACATCTAATTTTAGTATTTGACCATCAGTGTCTTGCTTCTTCTGGTCCCATGTGATGTTGACATTATTTTAATTAATTTTGTATTTAGTACCCTACTTTTTGAAATACTAAGTGAATAGGCATTGTGTTCCTCCAATTTAAAAAAAAAATCCTATTTCTTGTTTCATCTCTACATGAACATTTAACACTTAATGTTTATCACTGCAAGACATTTCTTATTATGACTTGATATGAGGCCCATCAGTAAATGTCCTTGGCAAAAAAGCTAGTGTACCTCTGGAATAAAGTGTGTTCATTCATCATAGAAACTACAGGATATTGTGCAGTGTAGAGAAAGAATATTTTACTGAAGCCTTTCATGCTGCAACTGAACCAATGTAATGCAGATTTCCCCCCCCTCAAAATAACAAACACATGATTGAAAATAAAACTGCTACTCTTAAAAGATGATGAGATTCCTAGTGCAATAAAGAAGGATGTTGATCAGCACAATGCTTGTTCTCTCCTTGGCCTAACCTTGGATACAATTGAAATTTTGAGAAATCTGATTGATAGTTTTATTTATCCTCTTCTTTCCTGAATTAAAAAGTAAGCCTTGTTACTTAATAAGCCCTGTCTGTGCTCATTAAGGTTCCTTATCCAAAGCCTTTTATACACCTTTCCTAGGCCTCATGAGACACAACCCACCTGCTTGGAATATTTTTGCTTAGTTAATGTTCTATAAACTGGCAGGAATTGAACGTCCCTAAGGAGGAGCCCAATATTACAGGCTCAAAATTACCTTACTAATGGATTAAGTTCATTATTCACTCTTGTTGCAGTGTTTCTCACAGGAAAGCATGAGCAGAGGTATCAGAATTTCTATGACTCAGACATTCTGTCAGTGATTGCTCTGTAAACCCTTGACCTAACTCAATAGGACTGGGATTTCTATATCATTAGGCTTCGTTAATTAAGGATGGAGGAGAGGCCAGCCAATCAAGTTACAGAGTATTGTTGAGTTGAGTATGCAAATCTACTGTAATAAAGCCAATCATAAAAATGCCGTGTCTAACAATAATTAGAAATGAATAATTTTTAGTGACAAACAATATTACATGAATAAGAAATGTACAAGATTTCTTGTCACTCTTTCTCATGACTCTCTCAGAGCTGAAACTTCAAGGTCATCTTTGGATGTCAGACCTTGTGATTCATATAGTTCTATAACAGCCCTCTGAAATTATGTTCAAACACACTGCCTACAAGCAAATAAATGACATGATTATTCTTTTCTAGCTGTGCAAAATGAACGGGACAGGATAAGCACAAGAAGGAGCACATTTGATGGCAGCAACATTCCCTCTATTAACACTTTGTCACAAGCTGAGGCTCTTTCTCGGCAGGTACAGTGATCCACCATGAAGTTATTTAACACCCTTTTAGATTTTTTTCATAGTTAAATATTTCCTATTTCTCATTATATAAAGCATAATTATTGAGACCAATGTTCTATCTGCTTCCAAAAATGCAATCCAGCTGCTTCTTCCTAATGTAAGAATCAATAATAAAGAACATACGTCTATTTCTGATGGTGAAGCCAGTAAAGAAGGTCACTTAAGAAAATTCATCTTGTGTTAGTTACAATATGTCCCAGTTTTCTTCCTTAATATTGCTTTATGATCCCCTTACTTTCAAATTAAGTACTGTCTCAAGCAGTTAGTGGCATCTGTCTGGTCCTTGAGGCTGGATTTTCAATGGAGCTTAACAGAGATAAATGTCTGACATCCAATAAATGCCAATGGGTGCCTAACTCCCTTAGTTAGGCTCCTTTGAAAATCACAGCTTTAATGTTTGGATTTTATAAACCCTAATAAGGTTAACAAAAGGGATCCAAATGCTGAACCTATTCACATTGTGCTTTTGAACTCTGTCTGGTTTGAACTACATTTTCCTCTGGTTTCTTTTTTATCCAATTAATTGTTGAGTAGAACAGTATTCACTGGTTTCCTGTAATTCAAATAAATCATAATAATTGATTTCACACTCCCTTACCTCTTAGTAACTTACTCGGAGGGCAACTGCTGCCATCTTTACTTCATGATTTCATGCTGACTGTTTTATACTGAATGATACATCCCCAAAAGTTTTGTAATCTTGTCCTTTGTCAGCAGCTTGCGTATGATGGAACTGTCTCTAAGAAATACCCATAAGCTGTAAAATTTCTTGGATCCTTCTTTGTTCCTTATTAAATGAAAGAATTAAATTAGCCACTTAATACTACTAGGCTGGTACGAATGGGCTACTTGGTACTTTGGTACTACACCTGACTCTAGTAGTCAATGAAAAAGCCTCTTCAAAGGTATTTGCATTTCCCCTATTATTTTTTAGAATGTTAGATTTTAAGTAACTTTTAGCCAGGCCTGGTGATTTGTTGTTTTCTTATTGTACAAATTAATTCATATCTCAAACTCATGTTTACAAACAAATAAACTAATATTTCACCTCGGGCTCATGCTCAGAAGCCATGGGGATGGACACCTTAAAAATACATAGGCAGACAAACAAGTAAACAAAGATAAATATTTAAGGATAATGCCTTCTCCTTCTTTGGTAGATGCTGAACTGAATAATTACATACAGGCCTCAAGCAACTATGTTAACAACCCCAAACTCAGGGAAAAGTTCTCACTTCATCTAACCCATACCTCATGGCTGTTCCTTTCTCCATAATGTTCTGAACAGAAGCCCTAAATCCAAATACCCTTCACTTTGGAAAGTTTGGGTCCAAATTTTGCAGCCTCATGCCCATCTCTATTTGTGACAGACTTCTAATTATATCAACCTAATTAATGGTTAACTTTCTGTTTGGGCTCTAACTTTTAGCTGTCATCCTAGGCATCTCAACTACCAGTATGTTAAGAGCTTGATGCAGAAGTTACTGGGTGAAATCTTCTGGCCTGTGTTGAGCAAGAGATCAGAGTAGGTGATCATAATGGTCTCTTCTGATCTTAAAATCTAAGAATAAGCTGTTTTCCTTAGTAATTCTTTGAACTTGTTTATAGTACATACACATATGTGTTTTTATAGTCCTTTAATCATTGACAAGTGGTACATACAGTTCATGAATAAAAGTGTTTTCTTAAATGGGCTCCTGCTAAATATCAATTTTTTATGCTTTTCTCCCACAAAACTGGGAGATGATTGTCTTCAGCATATATTCCCCATCTAGAATTTTCCCCTCTAAAGATTAAATATTGTATTTTGATTATTTGATATCTATATTTCCATAGCATCTAGAGGTCTCTAAGAGTATCAGCTCCACAATGTGCTAAGCACATCTGAAGACACAGTCCTGCCCCAAAGAGCTAAAAAGTGACACACATAAGGTGTGAGAATAAAGTGCCAGATAGCCTCATGTGACCCTCAGTCAAACATGTGGCAAATTTAATATGGGCTTCAGCGAGAGATTTAAAGGAGAAGAGGGTAGGGTAACAGGTTAGTTCAGGGAGAGTTTTCACATGTAAGAAGCAATGAGGAAGGCACAAAGATGTTTTAATCCTTCTCCTTTTAACTTTAATGATTCCATTACTTATGCAGTAAATGGTTCCAGGAGGAGCAGAGAAGAGCATGTCTCCTTTGCCCCAATCCCATAAGAGCTCCTCTGCCCCAAATCTGCAGGGTTAAAGTTACACCATTGTTGAAGGTCCAGGTAGGAGTGAGACTGAGTAGCATTTGCCTTCCCTCAAACCATCAGGGATACAGTACCACAAGATAATGCTCACCCTGTCAGCATGATTTTCCCTACTTACCCCTTCATGCTGTATGCTAAAAGAGAAGGAGGTTGGGACAATGGACAATGGAGAGAGGAAAGGTCATGGTAGCATAGCCAGGAGCTGTGACACCTCTGGGAGTGCAAAGATTCATATATTTTAAGGCCATAAGGAACCATTGTGATCATCTGATCTGACCTCCAACATAACACAGGTCTTAGAACGTGACCCAGTAATTTTTGCAGCAAGCGCATAACTTTTCTTTGAACTATAGCATATCATTTAGACAGACATCCAGTCTTGATTTAAAGACCTAGAGTGATGGAGAATGTACTATGTCCCTAAATAAATAATTTAGACTGTTAATTATCCTCACTTAAAAATTTGCAGTTTATTTCTAGTCTGATTTTCTAATCTAGCTTCAGCATCCAACCATTGGGTCTTGCTAATGCCTTTTTCTGCTAGATTAAAGAACCTTCTTCGCTGGAAGTTTCTTTCCCATTTACCCGTTTGTAGAGCATTATCAAAACACTTCTTAACCTTCTCTTGGACAAACTAAATAGATTGAGCTTCTTAAATCTCTCACTATAAAGCATGTTTTACAGACTTTGCAACATACTTGTGGTTCTTTTCTGAACCTTTTCCAATTTTTCAACATTCTTTTTGAAGTTAGGACACCAGAACTAGATTCAGTATTCCAGCATTGGTCTCACTAAGGCCATATGCAGAGGTTACCTTCCTACTCCTAATTGATATTCCCCAGATGATGCATACAAGAATTGTATTCACCCTCTGGGCTACAGCATTGGACTGGGAGCTGATATTATGTTGGTTATCTATAGGCTTGACGGAATTCATTTTAAAAAATGTAATAGAAGATGGATGTATATTTTTCAGCATTCTTTCCTTTTTTATTGATTTACAGTTGCTGGAAATTTTGGAGGAGTCAGATAATGGATGCCATAGGTCTAAGTGAGATATTTTTCCTAGTTTCAGCCCTACTTTTGTCTTCAGCCATCTTGCCTGTATTGCTTAATAGCAAGTTTAGTATTGTTCCTTTCCTTAGAAAGTCATTAAGGATTTCACGATTTGGCTCAGCGATCATACAAAAGCTTTCCAGCACCAAGCCCAGAAAGATTCCTCTCTCTGTGTTTTACAGAACACTGTGCACTGCAGGTGGTCTTATATACACTCCTATTAGTACATTTTCTGAAACATCCCCAGCTTCTATCCATACTGGTTCTCATCGTTACAAATCTTTCTGCTTTAGGCATTTAAAAAAGCGTATTTCATCTTCTAGAGTTAATGATACTTATCTTTTCACTGAAAATACATATTTCCCTTTTATCTTTGTGTGCCTAGAACTTTATTACATTCCCTTCCCAGCCCTTTCTTTCTAAAGTGAGGTAAATGTCATCCATTTTAAAGGCAAAAAAACAAAAAAAAAATTAAAAATGTTACAAATAATAGTCATCTCTTGGAATGAGAAGATCTTGTAAAAATATAACAATAAGCATCCCACTATCATGGTAAAGTACACCATACAAGTAACAATGAGGGACAAAAATGATCATTTACATGCATATTGGTTGTCCTTATATTGTCAGGGACTTTGGCAATAATGTGCATGCTGGCTTCCGTGTGTTTTGCTTAAATTTACTTCTAGCCAGTGGAAACAGTAACAAATATGGAATACTAACATGGTGTGTTTTTTTGTTTTGTTTTTTGTTTTTGCTTAACATGGCTAGATCCCTGTCTCGAGTCCTGGTGCTAGTACTGACATAAATGTAAAGAAAATTGCCAGTATTAGCGATGTCTGTGAATCTATGAAGCAACAGCTGTTGGTCCTTGTAGAGTGGGCTAAATATATTCCAGCCTTCTGTGAACTACCATTGGACGATCAGGTACAAAGCAAATGAACTGGAGAATAATGATTATTCTCCTGTTACAGTCATGTAGAAATATTGTGTAACAATTCATTGTCTGCCCTGTATGCTAGAGCTCTGCTTTGAAGCAGATCTTGAGACATGACACAAAGAGATAGTAGAGGTTGAAGGGTGCTTCATGTGTTGGAAAAAAGGGTGCAGATCCACAAATTGAAAATTTCAGAAACAATATTTTGCAACTGTTGGAACCTGAAACTTTAAAGGCATGCCAAAATTAATAATAGTTTAAAAAAACCATCTAATCTTTCAGAACAGTTGGTTCATGTTCAGCTGCAACTGTTTGTGAAGACTGAGGTGGCTTGTTATTTAATTTGAACATTTATTTAATTAAGTTTCCTTATCCTTGCAAGAAATATAAGTATTACAGTCTTGAGAAGAAGTCAAACCTATATTGATGCCAAACCATAGAAAATAATGTGCTGTTGAATATAATATAATAAAATATCCAAAATTGTATTTATAATGTGCTTATGTAAATTTTATTCTAAATTGACATGTAAACGGTGCTTGAGTTCTCTTTAGGGACAAAATATCATCTTGGTGCCATGTCAGATATCTGTTAGCTTTGAGTAGATGTCTAAAGTGAATTCAAACCCCACGTCTTCATGTTGTAATGGACATTACCGGGGCGTATGTAGGAATTCAAATTTGACCACTTTTGGAGGGGCATATTAAACACACACATTATACAGATTAATATCAACACATGCATTTATATCATATGCATAGATATAAACAGCAGTATGCTCACCATTTCAACAAAAATTGGTGCGCCTTGGAGCCATCTGCATAAATGTATCAACAAGTACTTGGCTGCAATGGGGTCACAGAAATCCTCCGGCCCTGGGGCTGAGGTGGGGAGAGGGAGCTTCTCCAGCCCCAGGGCCAGAGGAGCGCTCTCTTGCTGCCACAGCTCTGAGGCCGGAGGAGCTGTCCGCTCCTGCTGTGGCCCTAGGGCTGGAGAAGCTTGCTCTCTCCTCTGCACCCCCAGGGCTTTCTCCCCGCCATGGCTCCAGGGCTGGAGGAGCTGTCAGCTCCTGCCTCGGCCCCAGGGCCAGAGGAGCTCACTCTCCTGGTCCCAGCCCTGGGGCCAGAGGAGTTCTGTGCCCCCGCTGATTATCAGTGCTTGCCCCCCCTTGTGCATGTCCCTGGACATTACTGTCATCAAGCAGCTGGTTGGGAGGTTAACTGCTAAGAATGCCCTGATTTTCGTCTTTTAAACTGTAGTTCTACTCTGAAAGTGACCCTATAAAAATGTCATTGTGGAATTCCTCTTTACTGTCTCCTCAGTGTCAAACATTCTCTGTTTGTAGTAAAAAGACATGAGGGGGTTCTCTCAGCACTGCAAACCCAGCCTTATATCTGAGAGTGAAGCTGGGGACATTCCTCCTCCTGCATCTTTCCAGTAGTAAAGCTGCTGCATGCCCTTTCAGATTATTGCTTCAGTGACACCTGTGCTTACACTGGGTTTGCACAAATGTACCAAACAATTATGTTGATGATATAGAAGGAAGAATGGAATCAAATCAGTCTTTAGTTGTGTTGGCACTCTAGGGGCCACAGATGTAAGAAGCAATAAAACTTGCTTTCATCAGTTAAGCTGATATGATGGAACAGGAAAAAGAACAGACCTGCTGACTAAGAACATACCAACTTTACGCTTTTCAGAGTATAAGTGCACTTTAGAGGGTCACTAGCCAATAATTGTATGCTGAAAATTTGACCTACAGTACTTAGAATATAAAGTGAGAAATATTGCTCAAACTCCAAGGAAAACCTGATACTTTGTTACTGAGAAGTTAAAACTAATGGTTACTACTTTTGTATGATACCCTTTTGCTAATTGGCAACTAGCATTTACTTATCAAATAAACTTCCTTGTTTTGTACACTTTCATCCTGACCTCAAAGTCAACCTGGTTTACGAACAACAAGGTAAACAAAAAAATGTGTTAGCTCTGTTAAGGCTGAGATTCTGAAAGCTTTCTAATTTGGTTGCTCAGTTTCCTTAGCTGGCTTTGAAAATCCCAGCATAAAAATCACAAGAGAAAAATTCATGTTTGCACAATGGAAACAAACAACCCCCTCAAGAAAATAGATTTAATTGCCAAGCTTCTAAGAGGGCATTATAAACAATGGAATGTAAATAAAAATGTAAAATGATAAACTAGTGAATAAATTGTTTAACTGCTTTCCTGGTATGCATCAGGTTTCTTCTTTATTGACTATCATAAAGAGATCTTGTTCTATATATTTTGCAAGGATATCATTGTCTGTATTTCATAGTGAAACTGGCCTGTTTGACAGCAAAATGGAGTACTTCTCTGTTATTTTATTTTCAGTTTTGAGCATGGTGTTTTTTCTTTTATTTCAGTTATTAGAAGAGAGGTATTTTTAGCAAAATTGGTTGTAATGCACTGTCTTCTGAAAGCTGATAGGTGGGCCTGGTATGGCACTAGGAAAATTGTTCTAAGCCTACCCCCCCAACCCCCCAAAAAAATAAATAAATAAATAAAAACAACCATGTTCAGAAGGCTGGCTTTGAGGGGGAAAGAGCCATCTCAAATATCTTTGTGTTTTACTGGATCAGGCTGAACAAAATACTGGATATTGCGAAATTCATGATAATAAGTTATGATAGCCTTCCTGCCACTGGTTCCTTCCATGTTGACTTAAAATCCAAGAACAAGCTTTATGTAAAAGAAAGTGGAAACTATGAAGTGCACATAAATGTATACAATGATAAACTATCTGCAAAATCATATTGTGTTCAAAATTCAGTTTGTACGTATTGCTAAGTGATAACAGTGACAAAGTTACACAGTTTAACTCAACTACATTGAAATAGTAAGGTGTTGATATAAAATGAACCAGGTACCTTAAAAATTACTTGTAGTAGTCTGAGTGGTATAATTGCAAGCAACAGCACTCTGATTCATCTTGCCCACTACAGATAATCACATATTTATGTAGATGTTATAATCCGTGTTGTTATTTTATGGGGGTTCCTCTTTTTAAGGTTGCCCTGCTAAGAGCGCATGCTGGGGAACACCTCTTGCTTGGAGCAGCAAAACGGTCGATGGTGTACAAGGACATTTTACTTTTAGGTAAACATTTATTTTGTTTTAATTAATAATTACCATGTTATAGTTCACTAACAACCATATAATCAACATCCTGATAAACAGTGTCCTCATTTAACTGGGACAATTGCCACAGCAGAATGAGTGCAATGCACTCTGCTGACTTTAAACACTGCACTGATGGCATACCTAAACACTGTACTTATGGTATGCCTACTATATTGTCACATGCCAGTTTCAGCAAAAGCAGATGTACAGTCCCTTGCAACTTAAAATGGCTGCAGTTCTACTGATACCATAAATCTAAACCCACATACGAAGTCCTTGCCAAACGGATATACATACTTTGGTACCCTGTGTGGCAACATTGACCCATGTCACAACCCACCAGCGGGCTCCATCTGTGCCAGTACTTTGGCCTTCTTTCAAGGAACTGTCTAGGTGTCCCTGGACAGAAGCACCTAATGCAAGCCAGGGGTATAAAGTGTGTAAGGTATAGGGGCAGTCCATCAGCCTTTCTTTATAAACATTATGTGAAGGGGACTTTCCACTGCCTGCTATGCCCACTCTTGGGGTCTGGCTATTTGTGGCCCAATATGACTCATTCTGAGTATTATTGAACCAACCCTAGCATCCAGAGAATGGAGAGCACTTGCTCTAGAGATGCTACTCACATTAGAGGCTCCTTCCTGTTCCTGATCCAATTTTGTTCCTGAGTGCAGCTTTACTGAAATAAACTGCCTAGTTAAGTGTAAAACTGACTCATCGTTCCCATTAAATTACTAAAGATATAAATATTTGCTGTATTCTTGGGACACTTAGGTAATGAGCAGAACTGGTGTAAATGAAAATGGTGGTTAGCATGACGAAGGTAAGTATATGCCACAGAAAGGACCAATTTAGGACCAATTTACTAGCTATTCCAATTTACTAGTACCCCAGCTACTCTAGCTCTCTGAGAAAGAATTCTGTTTAGCTGATAATTCATTGACCTAGTGGGAAATTATTATCAGCTTTTGTTCTTGACAAAACTTTTGCCCTTATATGTTATTCTCACAGGTCATTTTAGTATACAGATAACTTTTGGCCAGAAGTTAAAGTAAGGTGGATTGCCGGTGTGGGCTGGTTTTCTGTCTCTGGTCCATGACTGGGATTCCCAGGATTTACGGTAGTAGATATATATAATAAAGTACATACGATTATGCTACCATAAATAGTAGCAGTCTGTTAGGAAGTTACATGTTGTTCCTCTCGTTCTCTTAGAAAGGTTTAGAATTCTAAACCAAATAAATTAGAAGTGGGAACTTATATTTTTTACAGTGAATTTAAATAATTATGAGGACCACGTTTTCAAAGTGGCCTCTTTCTAGCCTCTAAAATAGAACACTGAATTTTCCTAAGATTAAATGCCTGTGTCAAAATGGACTTGTGGGCCAAAACTATATAGTTAGATGGCTAATTGGATAACTCCCCAGTTTGTGCACACAAATAGGCCTCGAACCTGCAGACACACTAATCATAACTACGCATATGGGAATACTTATATGACTAAGTACCTACAGGATCAGGACTTTGTTTTGCACATACGCTTTCCTTGTAAAGAAACTTAGTTTTGCAGGAGGGAATGTTACTGTATGAGAAATTCAAAAAAATCTGACTTGCAACATTAAAAATGGTTTGGTTCACCTGGGTCTGTAAATTTAAACCTTTGTGTAACATCAGTCCATATTCTGGTATTTTTTTCTCCTCAAGGTAACGATTACATCATCCATCGTAACAGTTCTGAAGTCGAGATCAGCCGAGTGGCAAACCGGATTCTAGATGAACTAGTCCGACCATTCCAGGAAATTCAAATAGATGACAATGAGTATGCTTGCTTGAAAGCAATTGTGTTTTTTGATCCAGGTACATTTTCCAAAAAGTCTTTCAGATTTACTGTATGAATACACTGAAATTCACCTTTGGTGATGTAACATTCATTAACAGTCAACATATTTGCACAAAGAATTTTTCACTAAAAGAATATGCTTTGACTTGAAGTATTTTTTCATTTTTTCAAGATGCAAAGGGATTGAGTGACCCATTAAAGATTAAGAACATGCGGTTCCAAGTCCAAATCAGTTTAGAGGATTACATTAATGATCGTCAGTATGACTCCAGGGGGAGGTTTGGAGAACTTCTGCTTCTATTGCCTACCCTTCAGAGCATCACTTGGCAAATGATTGAGCAAATACAGTTGGTCAAACTGTTTGGAATGGTTAAAATTGACAGTTTGCTTCAGGAAATGTTACTTGGGGGTAAGTGTGTCATTCTTTTTCTGTGATATTCCACCTTATCAACTTGATAAGCACTTTGGAAAAAGTATCCTCCTCCCCACCTCACCAGGCTGCTCAGACGTACTCCAGGGGACTGGATCAGTGCCAATTTGGAGGGAGCGTTAAAGTCATGATAACATGGCTAACTGTCCTGTCCCCCCACCTCCAATGTGTACTGTATGTTCCTCAGCCATAGCTGAGTTCCTGGACATACAACTCCCCGAAGAGAGAGACCGGGGAATCCTTATGAACATTGTAAGGATTAAATCCATTGTTAATGCAACCCAAGCAGTGAAAACAAATGTCATACTTATTATGGTTGAAGTCTTGTTAAATTGTTTAATAAATATGCAAAAGGCAATTATTCAAATTGCCAATCAAAATATTTGCTCTAAGGGGATGTAATTATTGCTGTGTAAATCGCTAGTAGCAACATGTTCATTCGAATTGATATGTGCTCTTGTAATTTTTGCAGGTACGTCTAATGATGCCAGTCATCTTCATCATCCAGTACATCCTCATTTAGCTCAGGATCCATTAACTGGCCAAACTATTCTCATAAGTTCAATGTCTGCTCCTGTACATACAGAACAGATCTGTAAGCAATTGCACATTATCTTTCTATCATAACATCTGACTGTTATGTTTAGTTAACTGCCAAATCCATTAAAATGGTGACCTGTCAAAGCTAGTGTATACTTCTTTCATCATCATTTCTGAGATTTAAATAGTAATGAAATTAAAAAAAAAGCACACAGAAACAACCTCCTAAGCAATACATTCTGGTTTGAGTTTAATTTAAAACACATGACACTGTTTTCATATTACCATTGGTTTCAAATGTGGATTTTTAAAAGTGAACAATACATGGGGCTTCTGATATTTAAAAATGAATATTTACCTTTAGTGGCTAATGCAGATACTTTTTTAGGGTACAGTAGTATGTATGTCATAAATATGTATTTAGATTGGTCAAGAACATAATAATACATAGTTTCCTTTTAATTCTTTTTCAGCAACTCCAGAAACTCCATTACCTTCCCCTCCGCAAGGCTCTGGACAAGAATACAAAATGTCTACAAACCAGGCTACAGTCATAACGCAGCAATCAATTTTAAAACAAAAACCATTGTGATATTTTTTTTATTTTTTGTTTTGTTTTCTTTTCTTTTACATGCACTATATAAATTGTTAGGACACCTGGATGGTGGAAACCTCAGGATAGCAAATTAGGCCACCCCTTGACCCAAGCAAGTACAGGGGGCTGTTCTTATAATTCTTCTGTTTCAAAACTCAGAAAGCAAGGTACACTATTATGAATGATGAATTTGCTGTACACTTGGGGATACTGGTAGTCTTACAGCATATGTATATTTTGGTAATGCCTTTGGATCATTGAATTGAACGGGTACATTTTTATTTCCCATTTGTAGTTGTCATCTTAATATTGTTTATTTTAGATCTGTAAGTAATTTCTTCATTGAAATGTCACTTGGAACTAATTGTGCTTGTTTAGCTATGAATGGTAGAACTTAAGACATGGATTAACACAAGCCAAGAGTTCATAAATAATAAAAGAGCAGGTTGTTAAATAAAACAGACGTATTACATTTAGAGTGAAAATACATAATAGATAGGAGGGTCTGTTTCATTAAAATAAATCCTAATGTGGGGATACCAGGATCTTGAAGTCTGACTATACCACAAGAGTTAAATGTGTTGAATGATAGCTGTCATGTTTACCTATCAGTTTATGTGAATATGGTAAAATGAGAGAACCCGCAACATGCAGCTGTGTGCTAAAAATGAAACATGGGTATAGGGAATGACTTTGATCATGCACACACACTGTGTTTGCTCACAGTTGGAATTTGTTATGATGATCTATTTACTGACTCAGAGAGAGGTTTTCATGCTATGCTTTCATTCATGAATTATTGACATCACAAGAAAATTGCTACTTCGCACAGTCTGGTTGTTCATAAGAGAAATGATGTTTCCTTTAATGGAGACTTTCTCCCCAAAAGCTGTTAAAAAGTGCCAAATAATGTGGTCTGTTGGGTTATTTTAATGAAATAACACATTGGAGTCAGAGATTCAGCAAAGAGATGTGACCTGGCCCAAATACCTTGGTTTATTATAACATCATAAGTTCATACAATCATCATGAAGCAGCTAACTCCCTGACTCCTAAAGTGGTATACACTCAGGTATAAGAACTTTTTGTCCTTTTTTGCAAACATAAAGCCACAAAACCATGTAAAAGAATTAGAAAAAGTTTGAGTGCTGACTTGTAAACTCAGAATGCTTTAATGAGAATTCACGTAACACCAAGCAGTATGTGTGTTCCTTTAGGGTATTCTGCAATAGTTGTATTTGTAGTTAAATCTGCATAAAATAGCTCTTATTGTTCGTCTTTTGCTTTTTAAAAAGTGTTTTCTTTTTTATTGGTTATTTTGTATTTTTTATGAATAAGCATATATTGCATTTCTCTGTGGAGCAATAACGTTTCCTTTCTCGTATCCTTTATGATATGTATGATTCATGTTTTGATGGCCTTGATTGTACTCTCTTCGATGCCTAGGGAAGGTTTGCAATTAATTTCAATGGAAGCAGGGTTGTGTCCCTTGTACGCAAATGGGACCATAGACGCCGACCGCATGGGTGCTCCAGGGCTAGAGCACCCAGAGAAAACAAAATAGTGGGTGCTCAGCACCTACCAACCGCCCCACAGATCAACTCCTCCCCCTTCCTTCAGTGCCTCCTGCCCACCAGTGGACCCTGAGGATCAGCTCCTCCCCTTTTCCCCCCAGTGCCTCCCGCCTGCCAGTGATCAACTGTTCAGCAGCATACAGGAGGAGAAGGAGTGGGGGTAGGAGGAGGTGGGGTGCAATGCAATATATGCTTGAGGGAAGGGGTAGAGTGGGGGCAGGACCTGGGGCGGAGTGGGGGGCCAGCACTCCTGGGGAAATCACAAAGTCGGTACCTCTGTATGGAACTGAGTCATTTTTGAAACTATAATGTAGCTTTTAGGTGCTGATAGGTGCTGAACACATGCAACTCCCATTTAAGTGACCATACCTATTCCTACTCCCACTGAAGTCCATGGCAAAGCTCCATTGAGGTCAGTGGGAACAGGTTCATGCCTACTGACTTGAATGTGCCAAATATTTCATGATTGAGGTCTCACCCTGTTTGGGTTCATTCTGTAATTTTCCCAGGTACGCTTTGTGAATGCCTCTATAACTGACGCAGAGCACAGCTTATTGTGTTTGTCTAAAATACAGTGTAAGAACCAGAGAATGTACAATAGAATGTTTTCACAAACTGCCAGAATGTACTGGATAAAAACATATACTGTAGTATTTTATCTTACTAAAGGATGTTATCTATTTTATACAGTACATTGCATTTTTTCAAATAAGGAAAACACTACTGTAATTTATTGGGATATGATGATTTATTTTATAAATGTAACATTATTTTTGTAAACTTAATTATGCAAAAATCAAAAATGATTAGCTTTGTTAAACCTTAAATTATATTAAAATGAAATCTCCTATATGTCTGAACTGTGATGTCTTGTTTGTATATTGAGCATTCAGGATAAAAATGGTTGCTAGAAATAACCATCAATCATCATAATTATCAATGCTCAATAAACAGATATATAAACTATGTGTATGTCAAACCTGCCCTGTGGTAACTTTTTGACAATTTACATAATTGCTTGAAAACACTGATGTCATTTTATATTGTTTATCATATAAATAAGTATAAAAGAGTTACAAATCTGCATCTTCACTATATTAAAATCACATGGGAAATATATGATAGCAACACATTACTTGCCACTGCTGTAGCATTGCTTTAGTACTATATAGCAATAGTTTTCAGTTTTTGATCCTGACCCAGAAAATCATTCAAGCACATGCTTAGCTCAATCCCTATTGAGGAAAGCGCTTAAACCCATGCTTAACTTTAAGACTGTGCTTAATATTAAGCATGTAAGTGACTACAGTTCTTGGATAGGGATAGTTTCCTGAATAATGGCCTTTGTAATCTGTAGATTTCAAATTATTTAAACAGTTTAATTTAGTAGAAACTTGGTAATACTTGAATGTTTAGAAGTAGATTTTTTCTTTCTTTTTTTTCCCCCTTAAGATTCCTTGCAATGTATTTTATCATGTTATCAGCATCTGTTCTGTGTTGGGCCAAATATTCAACTGTTTGTCTCCTTATAGGTTGTGTGGGTGAGTGGGCGTTCACTGATGTTGATGTTGAAGATTTTTAGGCCTTTTGAACAACCTGTGTCTGCAATTGATGATTCCAGTTTAGGAATCTCTGTGCCCTTTCAATGCTGAATTGGATGAAAAGAGGGGGTAATTTGGACAAAAGAGATTTTCTCCCTTTTCATGTAGCTGGAAACACTACTATAGGGCCTGATCTAAACTCCACTGAAGTTAATGTAATGCCAACAAACCCCGGTCCTCAACAGCCAAGATCAAACCTGGGATCTCTGGAGCTTAATGCATGAGCTGCTACTGCATGAGCTAAAAGACGCACTTCTCTCTTAGCCAAGGCTGTAGCAGACTTATCTCTAGCTGGTCTAGCCACCACTAGAGGGGAACAGAGTGGCATACCAAGCAGGAATGGGTTACATACTTCCTCTAGCTGAGGAAGCACATCCCAAGATTCAGACACTTCAGAGTTGATATCCCAGATGAACCCCCACTTGTAATGCTGACAGATTCCAGCAGCCAGGATCAAACCTGAGACCACTGGAGCTTAGTGCATGAGCCACTACTGCATGAACTAAAAGACACAAATCTCTTAGTCAAAGCTGTAGCAGGCTCATCAATCACTAGCCATCTAACCATCACTAGAGGGGGACAGAGTGCCACCCCAAGCAGGCATGGGTTACATCAATAAAAAGCATCCCATTGATTTCAATGGCCTTTCAGTCAGGCTCCTGTTGTATTAATTATAGGAATAAATAGACCAAAAGATTCAAATGTGTTACCATGACCCTGAAACTTTTCTACATAAGGTTAAACAATCTTCAGGGTTGGGTATACAGTGACCTCAGCCTATTAATACCATGGCAAACACACCATAAACATTCTTTTAAACCTTTTATTAAAGATACAGAAAAATAAGGAAAGACAGTAAAAACAGTTGAAATGTAAAGTGTTAAATAAGAGTTTCATTTTAACCAAATCTCTTGTTCCTTTTCCCTTTAGCTGGGGAGAGTTTTTGGAAAGAAACTGCCTGGTCTGACAGACTCTGAGATCATAATAGCTGTCTTTTGGGGAAAACAAAAGAAGTCAGTTGAGATGGTGTCATAAATATACACAGGGCAGCTGTACTGAATTGCCTTACCTGTAAGGGGTTAATCAGTTCAATTAACCTAGTTGACACCAGAGCAGAAGAACCAATGGGGAAAGAAGATACTTAAAAATCTGGGAGGGATTTTTTGTGCTCTCTTTGTTTTGTTCCCTCTCTGGATGGAGAAGGAAACCAGGCAGGAAGAAAATCTGAAAACACAGCTGAAATGAGCATCTAAGATTACAAAAATTGTAAGTAAGGGCAAGGAAATGCATTAGATTAACTTTTGTTTTAGCTTGTGAATTTTTCCTATGCTAAGAGGGAGTTTTATTCCTGTTTTTGTAACTTTGAAGCTGAGCGTAGAGGGGAATCCTCTGTGTTTTAAATCTTTTTTTACCCTGTAAAGTTACCTTCCATCCTGATTTTGCAGAGGTGATTCTTTTACTTTTTTCTTTATAATAAAGTTCTTCTTTTAAGAACCTGATTGATTTTCAGTGTCCTAAAAACCAAGGGGTTTGGTCTATGCTCACATTGTAACCAATTGGTTGGTATATTATTTTCAAGCCTCCCCAGGAAAGGGGGTGAAAGGATTTGCGGGAATATTTTGGGGAAATAGGCACTCCAAGTGGCTCTTTTTCCTGAATTTTTGTCTAAATCACTTGGTGGTGGCAGCAATACCGTCCAAGGACAAGGAAAGGATTTGTGCCTTGGGGAAGTTTTAATCTAAGCTGGTAGAAATAAGCTTAGGGGGTCTTTCATGTGGGTCCCCATATCTGTACCCCAGAGTTCAAAGTGGGGAGGGAACCCTGACAGATGGGCTGGAACAGTTGTTTTCACTATTGTTAAAGTCTGGTCCCATTTCCTAAACAATGAAACAAGACAAAGACACACAAAAAAAGAGAAAGAAAAGAACAGCAAATATAGAAAATGCAGCTTCTCTCTGGCGTTGACTCTAACTTGCAATGTCACTGCTGGAAAATCCAAGGCACAGCACATAGTCTTATCAGCCACCCCAAGACCTGGCAAACATTGGTCTGTTCAGGGCATTGCTTTTTGCTGCCTCTTTCTGGTCACAGGCTCAAAGAAAAGTTGTAAAATATGCAGTCTTGGTAAGCTAACTCAGACTCTTATTAGACAGAAGGAAAAAGGAGAAGAGATAGAAAAGAGAAGAAATAGGATAGAGAAGGGAAAGGACACATGGAGAGGGGGACAAAGTCACACACCCCAGGTGGGTGTTCAGGATTCAGCTGGAGCCAATGGAGGTGGCAGTGTCATCAGGGTCCCTCTGTCTGACCCAGTCTGGTCAAGACATATCTCAGGGTAAGGATGATGAAGGCACAGTGGTGTCAGGCTGGATCCTGGGTTACCAAAAGATGGTGAGGATGGCAGCCATGATGGTGAAGCCTGCTTCTTCCCTTTCTTTCATCTTTCAGTCAGCCAGCTTTTATGCTTCCCTCTGTCTGATAATTTTCACCCTCTAGACCAGTGGTTCTCAAACTTTTTTTTTCGCGGACCACTTGAAAATTGCTGAGAGTCTCAGCGGACCACTTAATGATCTTTCTAAATGTTGTTTGTACCATTAGCTAACTATTGTAATAGTTAAAAAAAAAAGTAGTAATAATAAACTTTTTTTGTTCTACAAATAAAAGCACATAACTCATATTTTAATATCAGTAATCTTACCTTTCTAATGAGATGGATTAATGTGGCAGCCCCCGAGCTGGGGCTGGGAAGGAGGGGGGGTCTCTCCCTCTCTCCCCCACCGCAGCAGCCCCGAGCTGAGGCTATGAAGGAGGGGGGTCTCTCCCCCCCCACAGTATCCACAGAGCTGAGGCTGGGAAGGCGGGCTGTTTCTCCCCGGCTGTCACAGCCCTGGAGCTGGTGAAAGTCGTCACTTTCTCTGGCCACCGCAGCCCTGCACATCCCAAATTCTCCCCACCCTGTCTTCTCACCCCACTGCCCCTCCCACCTAACCCCTGCACAGCTCCACTAATTAGGTGGGTAGTCCTTCATTCTCTCGTGTGCGACCGCCCAGGCCCCTTAGAGGGAACTATCCCCAAACCACCTGAATGGAGCTTGCAGACCACAGTTTGAGAACCTGTGCTCTAGAGTACTTCTTGAGGACCCCAAAAGGGAGCAATGGGTGGAATTTTGACATCTCCTCTTTATTTTGACAACAAATTAGGCCTAATTTTCAACACACAATTTTGGTTCATTGATTTCCAGTCCCACACTTCTCTTGTTTACCAGACATCATGAAATTCAATAAAGACAAGTGCAAAATACTGCACTCAGGAAGGAAAAATCAAATGCACAACTACAAAATGGGAAATAACTGATTAAGTGGTAATACAGCTGAAAAGGACTTGGGGTTTTTGGTGGATCACAAATTGAATAGGAGTCAATTATATGATGCAGTTGTGAAAAAAGGGTAATATTCAGGGGTGTATTATCAAGAGTGTTGTATGTAAGACACAGGAGGTAATTGTCCTGCTCCACTCAGCACTGGTGAGGCCTCAGCTAGAGTACTGTGTCTAATTCTGGACACCAGAATTAGGAGAGATGTGTATACATTGGAGATAGTCCCGAGGACAGGAACAAAAATGATAAAAGGTTTTGAAAACCTGACCTGTAAGAAAAGGTTAAAAAAAACTGGGCATATTTAGTCTCCAGAAAAGAAGACTGAGGGGGGGACCTGATAACAGCCTTCAAATATGTTATGAGCTGTTATAAAAAGGATGGTGTTCAATTGTTTTCCATGTCCACTGAAGGTAGGACAAGAAGTAATGAGCTTAATAGCTAACACTTACTGAAAATGAGGAAAAGCTTTCTAACTATAGTGATAGTAAAATTTTGGAATAGGCTTCCAAAGAAGGTTGTGGAATCCCCATCTTTGGAGGTTTTTAAGAACAGGTTAAAGAAATACATGTCAGGGATGGTCTAGATTTACTTGGTGCTGCCTCAGTGCAGGAGGCTGGACTTAACGATCTACCGAGGTCCCTTCCAGCACGATTCTACGATTATGTGTAGAGGTGCACTACATCCAGTTACAACAACTGGTGTTCTATTATATTTTTCCTCATCCACTTTTATCAGGACTGGGTCTTCTGGTTTAAGCTTGGGCCAGTTTCCAGCTGTGTTCTAACAGTTAAAGAAGAAAGCCTAGACCTTCTCATTTTTGACATCCCTCGGGGCTTACATCGTTTAAGCAGAGTCTTGTAGGGTGAAATTTTATCTCTTAGGA